AAGAACATAGTTTAATTACTAGTGACAGTAAAACCATAAGAAGACTAAAAATATATCAGAAATATCTGATAACATTGACTTCAACTATTAATTAATACAGACAACACACCTATTTACTCAAAATACTTTCTAAAGACCTTCCAAATTGTACACCTTCTGGAAGCAAGTTTACTTCTGAAACACTCTGCATATTAATATTTTTGTTCAGTTAAGCAGCTACAAGAGCATTCACATCTAGTAATGAGATGTCATTCTTCACTATACAAAACTGAAAAAATAGGACTGAACACCAATGCTCAAACAAATTCAAATTTCAGCCTCAGATTCTCAATATTATTTTGGTCTGGAATTATTACTTGCCATTTTCAATTTTTAATTTTGCATTCAGTTGTCTTCCTCCAAACAGAAGTGGGTAAAAGTGCAGACAAACTTTCCTGAAAGTAGCTTCCTGGTTCACCTGAATAGAGCCAACAGAATCTCTTTCAAATACGTTTTGCTTTTCTGCATATACAGCCAATTAAGCTACATACTCTCCTGCTAAAACCGCCTGTGGAATATTGAAATTCCATGGAAAACAAACTGGTTGATGTGGATCCCATGCTTCTTGCTACTGAAGTGGAAAAACAATACTTATTGGTAACAAATGCCCAAATACTCACAGAGAGGGACGCAGTTGTTTCTTGTTAAATAGATCATTTTATAGTGCTTGCCTGCAACACAAAGGCAAATGGTGAGCACATCAGAAAGTCTTACACAAGCATCAAATCTGATTCTCCCCTATCATGGTCCTGTGAAGGACAACAAAATGAATGGAAAGAGAGCCCCTGGCTTGATGGTCATTGCTGCCCATTTGGCAGAAGAGGACTTGAGCGGACAAGGAGAAGAAACCAGGGACTGAGTGTCTATCACATATGGTTGATGGCTGATGTTAAGTCATCATGACCAGGCACCATGTTAGCAAAACATTCTGGTGTAGGACAGGGTAGGAAAATGGGTCAGCTGATTGACTTAGCGGACTTAAGTGTTTGGCACTTTTGGCAATCCTGCAGTCATGGTCTCAGAGAGTGAGAGCAGCTGATGAAAAGCTGTATAATTATTGGCACTGTGTTGTATTAAGATAGCATGACTTTCCCCAGAAGAAATACAGGTGCTAAAATAGCAACTGGATAAATACAAGATAATGAAAGCAAGCAGCACCATTTCCCCAGGTTCAAATAAACCACATAAGTATTCTGGAGAATTGACCTCAATAAAGGCAAATTGTCACTTTAAAAGTTATTCTGAAAACATTAAAATTATGATAACAAACCTTGGCAATTTTAAATATGCCAGTAAATGCCCATTTTCATCTTGAAGAGATCAAAATATCCTAAAATCTGGTTCTTTGTGCCATTATACTAGCCCTACGTTTGTAAGGCAGGATGGGGAAGCAAATTTCGCATTGCAAGAGTTCCTTGTGCAGCTTTCCTGGGGTATTTTGTCATCCATCAATGCCAACTTCTGCTTTGATGAACACCACATGGCCCTGCAAGAGGAATCAAACCAACCCACTTCATGGATTACTACTTCTCTAGGAAGAACGACTTTCTCTGGTCCTTTCCATATTTTATCTTCTTGGACATGGGCTTCAGGTTGAGGGAAGATAAAAGCCCTAGTGAAAATGAAAGCATGTTGTCAAGAATCAGAGCAAGATGAAAAATAATGTACTGCAAGGGAATACAATTAAGCTCCTGCCTTGTCAGAGGATTAACTAGAGAGTCTTTCAATTCAAGTAAAATGAGTTTTTGACTTTGAACTTTTGAGTAAATATAAGTTTCTAACCAGTCACGTAACTGGTTAAAAAAAATAAGAGAAGTTGTAAGCAAGTATGACGCATTTCTTTAAGCACCACTTCTGCAATAAGCACACCTTTAGTGGAAACCAGCACCAGATACTTTTGTTCTTCTATTTTGATTTAATCTGTTTAAAATAGATGAAACCAGACCATAAGCAGTCCTTTTCTGATGTTCCTTTAGTAAGAATGAAGGAAATTTTGCACTGTGTAGATTAGGCTCAAAATCCTGATGAATCTGGCCTTATACTACATCCTGGCAATAACTATGAAGCCAGATGGACTTCATTTGAACTGCCTGTCCAGTACACAATTCTTGGAAGATTTCGGCTGTGAAGTAAGGGTGCTAAGTGATAGATAACCAGTACATACAAGAATTAACCCTTTTTGCGCTCTAATGCAACCTAAATACAAGTCAGCTCTTTATGGAAGTGGGGTATTAGCCACTGGGTAGTATTTATTCCATAAGGCATAAGAGATTTTAAGATGTGCACACTTCTTTAAACATGGATTGCAGGATATGAAGCTGATTCACACCAGGGTATGAATTTTCTGCAACTAGAAGAGCTGCAGTCACTGAGCTGCTTCGAATTTGTGATGAGGGGAGCAAGAGTCACAAATTACACTTCTGTAATTAGATATGCTGATCATCTGCTAAGGATTATAAATTGATATTGTAATCAATATTCATATTTTTCACTTTATCACTGTAACTCATTAAAGCTGCTGGCCTCAACATCTAATCTGTGATATCTCTCTTGGTGCTTTCAACAATTTGCATTTTTGTAAATAAACTCATTTTGTAATAAAGGTAAATTACAAAGATCTAACAATGTACATATATTTTAATTTTGGGGGAATTTTCCCACATTTCTTTTGGGAAGGCACTAGTTATCCTAGAGCTTTTAAATCATTTTGTTCATTTTCACTGCTTTACTAGTTAGCATAGCTTCTGCACTGCTGATGTTGATTGGACTTAAGGCCAACTGAAGAAGTTTTAAAAAGGCTTTGAACATCTTAAACTTGTCTGAGACTCAAGATCACATGGCTGTTAACATTTAAACTTTGTTAATGCTATGTATTTCATTAAAATGCCACTGTCATCTTTTAATTAAACAATTTTATTTATTTTAATGTTTGATGCCCCAGAGGGCTGCGCTGATACCCCAGAGGGACCTGGACAGACTGGACAACTGGGCGATGAAAAACCTCATGCAATTCAACAAGGCCAAGTGCAAGGTCCTGCACCTGGGGAGGAATAACCCCAGACACCAG